CGGTGAAAGGGCTCTTTGGGGCGTTTCCCGCACTCGGGCGAACTGACGTCACCCAGCGCATTCGAACTCAATAACCGTTTGTTTGCTTTTACAGAGATGAAGGGGTTGGTAATGGTAGCATTTGTATTGAGGATTGCAGTTTTGAGGTGGTGCAAATTGTTGGAGGGGAGCATTCATGGAGAGGCCAGCTGCGCGTTATGGCTAGTGATCGTGCTGAGGCTCTTTGAGGGAGAATCGAGCGAAGGTTTTCGCTGGCGTTGTTGACTCTGAATTCTGGTGTTCGGTAGTGGGGTGAGGATTGGGAGGGGGGGGTGGAGGAGACGGTGTGTGAGGCATCGCCGCTAAAGACTGATTCTGGGGGGGCTTCTTTTATCGAAATTGGCGATGATCGATAACGTTGTGGGTGCTGCATTAGGTGCCCCACATTAGGGTCCGGAAGGGTGTGGTGGTGAAGAGGGTTCCTGCATGAGGAGACACTCAGGCTCTGAACAGGGCAGCGGGGCTATGGAGCAGTTCTGAAGTAATGCATGGGGACCGTTAACTGCCATTCCCAGTCGCGTATCAACAAGAAACAACAAGGTGGATGCAGTTGGCAGCTGTGCCAATTGTAAGCTGTGCTTTGGGGCTGTCTTTCGAGGAGATGGGAGCAATACACCTGTACCCGACAACGTGTGGCGGCATACCTGGAAGAAGAGATCAAAGGTTATCGCTGTCCAAGCACGGAAACGAGAGCGTCTGGGCCGTGTTGTTGGCAAGCCCGACAATAAAGCTCTTCTCCTCTTCCGATGCAATGAGGCACGTGACGGGTGCATCAAACACCACATCGCGCAGAAACCGGAAAGACCACAGTGGCGCACGGGTCCAGTCGGATTCCCCTGTCATCGTATGCGAAGCCACAACGCACCACAGCGACACCGTACCGTTGGAGTGGCCAAGCAGCAGCAGGTTCGACATAGAGAACGAAGCGCAATTGGCGTAAAGCAGCGCGGTAAAGCAGGAGCCGGCCATGCGAGCTGCGCACTCGGGGATTGCAGACATGAGAAGGGCGTCCATGTGGTGGTGAGCGAGAACGACTCCGTCGAATGAGAAAACCACAACAGATTTCGTCTTGGCGGCGTAGTAGATGCCCGTATGCATGTCCTGCGAAACTGCCTTTACGGGGCTGCTGTCTGCGGCAGATGCGAGGCTGGCCGCGAAAGAGAACGTCGTAGAGAGAAAGGAGAGATGCCACCCCGACACGGTGGACGCCCCCTCGTAGGCCACAATGAGCTGTCCCTCATCAAACAACTGAAGACAGGCTACAGAGCCAGCGCCGGCCGAGCAGTTGTCAATCGCAGCGTCGAGCACGGCAATGATGAAGAAGCGGTGGTGCACGGTCTCGCGGCTGTATACCATGACCTTGCCCGACTCGGTGCCGATGCATACGACGCTACCGCGAGTCGAGACGCAGAGGCACCGGACAGGGCCGCAGCCGGAGGCCTGAATTTTGTCGATGGTCGCTAGCACGCGATCCCCTCTCAAGGTGGTGCACACGATTCGGTCTATCTGGGGCTGGTAGGTGAAGAGCTGAGCTGGTCGTGCACACCCGACGGCACTAACGTTATCGAGCAGAAACAGCGTGCCGTCGCAGAAGGTGCCCGATTCGATTTGCTTACCCTTTCGAACCGCCAACTGCGCCCCAGCGCACGGCCACGCCCTCAAGTCCGCTATCGACTCCAACATGTCGGTCTGTGTGGTACGCACCCTCGCGGCGTCTTTGCGGGCTGCGTGCGACTCCTTCGGAAAGAGCTGCAGCGGTGTCTGGCCGAAGTTGTCCACGGAGGCCACGATGGCGCGCCGTTCCTCCTCCGTGGCGGCGTGGTTGATGGCGCGGTCGACGCCCTCCTTGTAGGACAGCGGACTAAAAACGTTGGTGGCCTCCACGGCTGCCAGGCCCACCTGCCTGTAGCCAAAGATGAGGTCGATCCACCTGTGCAGCTGCCTGCTGACGACCTCGCTCTCTAGTGATAGCGCGTTCATGTAGACAAAGCCGAAGGCGCTACCACCGCACCAAGGCGGCAGTACGACATCATCGAGGGTCTCGCCGTCGCTTCGAGTGCCGAGGGCGACACGGTTCCTGTTCTGCAGGAAGGCCGACACGCGGAAAAACTCTGGGATCAGCTCCTTCACATCACCGCTGCCTCGCCCGCTACAGTTTGCCCAAGCCTCTTCGACACTGTGGAAAAGGCGGTCTGCGATGTCCAGCCTGCCGCCCTGGAAGCGGATGGAGCCGGCCGTGAAGGGCTGGAGACGAATGAGAAAGTAAAGCACAATGGCCGCGGTGCTGTAGTGGGTGCCGTAGTGGTAGGGCAGATCCGTCGCGGCGTCCCCTGAAATCCATTCCGCGTAACGCTGCTGCAGCTGCTTCGCCCTCACCTCATTCAGCGCCCCAACGGGCTTGCTCAGGTCGCGGTAGGCACCCTGGTCTTCGAGGTTCAATGTTTTGTCGGTGTAGTTGCGTAGCGTCCACGGCATCACGGGGTACTGGCCCAAGTTGGCAACGGACCGCGAGGCTGCGTCATTGAGAACACGGAGGTACATGTAGTTGCTGCACTCCCGCCGTACCCACCGCCGCGTCCACACCGCCAGCCTCCACTGCTTTTCGACGAAGGAGTGTGCCGAGATGCCGGCGAGGATGGGGTCGCCGTCGCCGTCAAAGTAAGAGAAGAACTTGTCACGCGAGGCCTTCGAGAAGGACAGCTCTGCGTCCAGCAGCACGAGAAAGACGCTCTCGCCCGACTCCATAATGAACTCGAGGCCGGCGGAGAGATGCTGAAAGAGACGCTGGTGGACGGAGGTGATGATGCCGAGCGGGAAGCGCCACACCAGTGCAGTGCTGCCCTTCGCAGACTCCGTCTGCAGCTGTCGGTAGTACTGTGAGTAGCGGAAGGCCGCCTGCGAGGAGGTACTACCGGTGCTTCTAGCTTGCCCAGACGTGAAGAAGCGGAAGGCCTGCTGGAGGAGGGACGACTTCGCGTGGGACTGCTCCGCTGCGTTGTGGACACGCACCTGCTCGACGAAGAAGTCACCTGCAGGTGTGACGGCGCTACAGGTTACGATGATGAGCTCCTGCCGCGTCAGCAGCACCGTGCAGATGTAGCTTTCTGTGCCAATGACGAAGTACGCATTGCACGCAAACGCAACTGCAGCGAAGGCACCGTGTCCCGCGACTTTCGCCACTATCGCCCGGGCATTCGCCCGCAACCTCGCCGCCGAGCTCTGCGACTCCCGCCGACACAGCGGCAGGCACACCGGCGGTGCAAAACGGATGTAAAAATTGAGGGGGTCGCTGGCCACCTCCTCGACACGCTCCGAGGCGTACCGCCGGCACTTCCCCACAGCCACGCCGCTGCGGAGCGACCACTCGCTGCACACGTCGCCCGCCCCATCTGCCGCAGCGTCACCGCCGTTGAGGACGTAGCAGTTCGGGTAGCGCCTCGCCACGCAGGACAGAAGCGCCCGGTCCACAAACGTCGTCGTGACATACGTCCCCTTCCAGAGGAGGTGGTGCGACGTAGCGAGCGATGAGACGTGGCGGCGTTGCCGGTCCCTATCTGCCACCGAGGCCGCTGTGTCGCGTGTGATGAGCCGCAAATAATCCACACCGCTCGCCAGAAAAAACGAGTACGGCACGCCACTGTATGCCTGCAGCAGCTGGACTGTCCCGGAGCGGTTCTGCCGCAGCCACGCCGCAAAGGCCTCCGTGGTCGAGGAGGTGTCCAGAAGTTGGTCAAAGCCATCGTGAAACAGGTCCAGCGGGGGTGTCGCCGTGCAGAAGAGCGACGCCAAGGAACTATTGCCCTGGTTTGACGTCAGCACCGCTCTCCAGAGCGCCGTCAGTCTCTTGATAGAAAGATGAGCATCGTCGGATATGCAACTTCCCAGGCACACCGTCACCTGCAGAAGGCGTGCCACCACCGTCTTCAGCAGCTCTGCGCCAGGTATAGGAGCGGAGAAGAGCGGGTCCACGCAGTTGTAGGCCATGTCCACGACCGTCCCCACCTTCGAAGCCTCCAATTTGTAAAACGAGGCGCTCGTGACGTACATGAACCACTCGAAGATGGCGGTGCGACTCTGCTTCACCACCTCCTCATCGCCCTCCACACGCGCGAGGAGGAAGCGGTAGAAGCCAGCAATGCTATTCGGCGGCACAGCACAGCCGCTCACGAGCCGGTCCAGCGCGTACTTACCGAGCTCAAGCGAGTTGCGCTTCACAGGACCAGCACTTAAGTTAGAGATACGGTCGATGCACTGCTCCGAGGCCTTCAGCCACACGAAGCAGAGAAATGCCTGCCGGATGTCCTCCGATTGGTTACCGATACCCTTTACCTCAGCCGAGAGCGCGCGGTGGAGAGTCAGGACGTACTTGCTCATCTTTGTGCGGCCGCGCGCCAGGGGTAAAATGTCCGTCGTCCCCGCACGGAAGGAAGCATGAGTGAGAAAGAACAGCTTGCACGCGTCGTACACGCCGTCCATACCGTCCGCTGGCCCCACCGAGTCGAGCCCGAAACTGCGAGTCTCA